TATGTATGTATGTGTTTATGTATGTAAATTTATGTATGTAAAAATATAAAGAAAAATATTTGTGATGTAAGCATGCAAGCATGGATGTTAATATGCATGTGCATATTGATTTGTACATGCATATGTGCATGTGTAAGTATGCGAGTAATTAAGTACGTGTGTATGCCTGTGTGTGTGTGTGTTTATGTATATGTAGGTACAACTATTACATTTGTTCGAAGCCATGCCGTGAATCGACTGTACGTCATCTTCAAAACACGGCGTCGGCGAAGCGAAAGGAGGCTTACCCTGTACAAAGGCTGTGGAACTGTGCATACATGCGTTATAGACTATAGATGAAGTTATCTTGTACAGGGGGTTCTTCATAATACGGTATCTTCCAAGCGTCTTCCCATACAACGATCTTCGTGTGGCATATCCACGTCTGCCGGGGCGTCCCAGCTCGCTTCTTACCATAGTCCATCCTAATGGCACTGTTGGGCAAGAACGACGCCTGTCTTAATGGATCTGAATTGGTACAACGAAATATGTGACCTGAAAGGCCTAGCACGTCGTAGATTGTGGAACTCACGGACTAGTAGTATCTGTCGTCGGACGTCCCGGCTTGGAAATGCTGTCGTACTTGATTCTTCCAGAAGCTTTTTGTTTGTACGTGTACGATCTATATAGGCAGGAGCTGTGTTCAAACTCTTGCGAATGCCCCTCATCTGGCACGCATTTAGCTCCTTTGCCACAGCAGCAGATAAGTGAATAGTTTAGTAGTTTGCGGACAGTGGCATCATACACTATTAACTTCCATCTCTGGTTTGCTTGGGTTGTTGTCCAATAGGGGCTTAACTTGATCCGAGTGAGTCTAACCTCTTGTAGCTTGTTCGAAATTTCATGTCGAATATTGACCTCCCTGTTAACTTCATACGCCATGTACGCAGGTTCATATTCTGTGGATAAGGGCGTGCCATCTTGAAAATGTATGGCGCCCTCATTGTTGACAGGTATAACGACGCATCTGTCTCTGTGCAAACGGAGTCCATACTGTTGTGAAATCTTCTCAGTCTGGGTGCGACATAAGAGATTTTGTCTAGACCTCTATGGCTTTGGGAAGACACAATAGTGTCATCAGCATAATCAATCATGTCAAAACCTGAACCAGGAGCTCTATTGTTGACTACGTATCCAGTGATACAAGACTGAATACTAGAATCAATGCACGACATGACCAGCGTGAACGAGAAAGGGCTCAACGGGCATCCTTGTCGTATGCCGCTTCTTTGTTGCTTAATTGTTGAGGCCCCGACATCATGCCTGACAAAGAATGTCGGCTTCGATAACAAGCTTCAATAACATCTATGGTTATGTGTAAACATGTATATTACTATATATATATATATGTGTGTGTACACCCACATCTATATCTATATCTATGTATATATACACATATACATATATGTATACATGTGTTCATGCATGCACGTACGTACGTATGTATACCAGTATGTACGACTGCACGCGTGGATAAATGTACGCACACACACACACGCCGCATGATGATAAGCGTGTACAGAATGTGCCGCATCACCGGCAGTGTCGTCACGGCAGACACATCGTGAAGAGTTGGGCCCGCCATTGTCAAGAGTTGGGCCAGCCACCGTGCGCAACAGGAAAAGACACGAATTGATCGCTACTGGTTCCAGATCTATTTCTTGCACAAAACATGGCGACAGCACCTTGGAAAACTGAAGGGACGCCACGCAGAGCACCAAGCAGATGAAGCCCTTAGACACTCTTGACGGATGTAGGATAAAATTGCGCCACCCTTCATGGCAGCATGCAATGCACACGGAGCTGAGAGGCCGGCTGTCAGCATCATGTTGTTCTGTGACTCGACTCTCACATATGGCCTTAGCATCTGGCAGCCATCCGGAATTTTGTCCGCCTAGACTTTGCCGGCGTGGCTTTTCAATGGCTAACTCATGGGTGACGCAGTGTTGCAATGTCAATAACGGTGGCATACGTTTCCAAGAGCACTTGTCTTGGGATGCTGTTCATGGCATGCCTACCCTAAAGAGGGATTCTTTAGAAGGCTGGCCTGCATCAAAGCGCAACAGTCGTGCAGAGTACTGCATTGTCGCGGCATAAGAGGAACATGGCTTCTCAGCAGGCGACCGTGCATCAAAGAAGAAGGCCAGATGCCAGTCATCAAATTCTTGCCTTGCGATAACACGAGAAAAACGGTCCGTTCGCGCAAGCATCCAATGAATCCAATCCATCCCAGCGGCTCTGTGAGCAAAGAAGGCTGGATTCTGAAACGCTCCTGAGGCCGAAGGTCCTGAGGGCACCTGCGCATTCAGTCGGTAATTCAGATTCACCCGGCATTTTGGCATATCTGGCCTCACAGCATAGGAAACTGTGTCCTGTGACGTGGTGGGTTTATCTTGGGTTGTTCTCGGGCTCCACTGCATCTACTGGCTTTACATAGCCTCGTCACTTGCAGATCAATGTTTTTGAACTGACCGGGTGACCGGGGGTAACATGTACCTGAATATCGACCTCAAACCCCGTGCAGGCTTTCATCACCCTTGCAAACATTGCCTCCACCCCTCGTTCGTGAACTATTGTCGTGCAATGTCGTGTGTCGCATACACCGCGCAAAAGCTACCTGGCTACCTTACGGAAACGCGGAAGATCTCCTCAGATCTGCTCTCCCTGTGCTATTCTCTTCCCTCACGTCCTCCAGCAATGTAGAGAGCAGGGACTGGCCGAGGTGGTTCCAACCACCAAACTGTAGCAACAGCATTCGCAAGCACAGCAACTGCACGCACTTGCGACAGCAATGTGAATACACGGACTGGCGATTTGTGAAAAGGGAGACCAGCCTGACACTCGATGTCCCAGTCAGAACTGAGCAAGTCTTGTGCCTCGACCGCCGATCGCCCTTGCACTGTAATACTTTGCTGCTCTGAATGATCGGCCTGTGCTGGAAAGCTGCCCATGACATAGACCTTAGTGCGAGGTTTGCAGTGAAGCTTCCGTTCAAAACAACGCAGACATGAACACCTTCTGAAAATCTCACCGCGCAACGGGCACGGTCTTGTGGTTTCGGTTTCAGTGGCGATGTCTTGGGGCAATCCTGTAATCCAGAGAAGAGAAAACTAGACTCACTAGTCACTAGGCCCGGATTTGCTAGCCAATCCGCACCTGTTAATGACATGTACGTTTTGCACAAATTCTCAGCTTTTTGTCACCGACAGATGACAATCGTCGGAGTAGCTAGCGTCTGATCGTGGCCCGGCACAACCATGTTCGAAGTGGCCGCCCAGCTAGACAGACTCTTGATATCGTTCTCGTCATTTCTCGTCCCCAGCCAGGATCTGCATCGAACGCAATCTAATTCAATTACGGCCTGTTCATGACAACTGATGCGTTTGCAGGCACCCAGCTTCGGCAGTTGGGCACCTCTTGTGAAGGGATGCGGCATGCGAGTTCAGACCCACGCCGAGCATAATGTGGAGCATGCTGTTGAAGATGATTGAAACCCCCAAACAAAAGCTGAACGAAAGCACGCGCTTTCTCGAAGGATGTGGATGTGGTAATGTCCTGACGGGCTGACACGCCCGCGCCTTGCAGCCGAGGATGCTGCATAATCGACATCTTGTTTTGCCACGGCTGTATCCCACGCGACCACAACGTCTTTCTGCAGCTTGGCCTGTGATCGCGGCACGCTCCGGAACGCAGGGAAAGGTCAGCTGATCTGTCCAACCTCTGCGGTGTAGTTCCGAAGCTCATCGTACGTCTTGTCGCGGCCAGAAAACCCTACCTCAAGTCGAAGAACAACATCGTTGCAACAAGCCAGTGATGATGCTGGCAGGGGCCCGACCCAAAAAACATGGCTGAGAAAAACTGCGGGACAGAAGGAGTCTCCGTCACAGCCCGCACGGCCGGCAAACCTCGTAAGAAAGTGGACAGTCTCCCTTGCTTGCAGGCGCTGGCAAAGAACAGACATGCTGACAGCGCGACCAGTTATGGTAGTAGAAATACCTCGAGCTCGAGCAAGAGTGTGTCAGACATGCTGGCTCTTGCCTCTTACCCTTGGCCTTTGCGGAAAGCTGTACATGCTGCTCCAAACTCCAAACATTGTTGCTGCACATGTGTCGGAAGGAACATCTACGACCCGTTGCAGTCGCGTGCAGTCGCATCGCGGCGTCGGGCAATGTGACTTCCAGGTCGGCAAGACGTGGAAGGTGTTGTGATTCTGTGGTTAGGTTCTCCGCCGTGTCTGCGGTAATAGCGACATAGAACATCCTGGCAGAAGCACTTTGCCGGCATTCCTCCCAGAGCTTGTGCAAACTATGGCAGCCACCGAGTCTCGAAGAAGGCTGCTTCGACAGATTTACAATTCGTCAGAGACGCGTTGCCGGCATCAGCAAGCTCAAGCTCAGAGAACTGAGCCACCCTGGACTCGACGACACTCGCGGCCTGTCTTACTCGGTCTCTGAGGCGACTGCTTGAGGATGGACTCCTCATACAAAGAGCGGTTCGCGATGCCTTCCTTCATGTGCCTTCCACCATTGGCACTCTTGTGGCACTATCATGGCTCGACGGCAGGTTTTGACATCTTGTAGGCATCTGGTGATTGTTGCAAACTCGTTCAAGGGGTACCCCAACACAACAAACGCAATTGATGTGAGAATGGGAACTTACTAGGGCCGTAGTCTTGCATAATGTATTGAGTGTACTGACTGCCATCTGATCGGTCCAGGAGGGAACTTGGTAAACCTCGCCTCCATGGTTTGGTGCCGGTGCGGCTTCTGCTCTTCATTGAATTTTATTGTTCTTGCAACAAAACCTAATTGCCGACATTGGCTCCCTCCCACTTAGCGTGTATTGTCCGATGTTGCGCTTCGCCTTTGCTGTGCAATCGAGCACGGGCCAGGACTGGCCTGTAGCTGTCGAAAACGCTGCTGGCTCCGAATGCCGCCGACGTCCTGAGCGAACACGAACGCACCCGGTGCCATCGTGTACTTGAGGAGCCGAGACAGTGACAGGTCACCGTGCGAGTTGCTTACAACGAAGACCTGAGATTTGAGTCCGGGCCGGGCAATGGGGCCGAGCGAGCCATGCGAGCCGCCAAGCCGGGCACTGGCATACACATGAGCATAACCAGCACCTCAAGCCGACTTCAAACCCGTGACATGCAAGCTTGACAAGCTTGTCACCAAGCCGTGGGCCAATATGATCACTCGCCGGGTGGTGAGTGCGACTAGCTTTTTGCCAACAGCACTCTCGCCTGAGCATGTCGACAATATCATTCTTTCCGCTGGCACCGTTCTCTTTGCAATCTTGCACTTGGGTTCGTGCGCTGGCCCTGAGGCAGTTTTTGCCAAAAGAACCAGCCGGTGCAATTGAACTTTAATCAGACCATTACGTACTCCTATAGTAGCAAGGCGGCATAGCATGTTGAAACGGGCATCGTAGACGAGACCTGATGAACACGCCTTCCGCTGCTCCTGGTCATCGTAGTCCGGGTTGTCCCAGTCATCCTGCTGTCTGAGTGAGTGCACAGGTCCCTCTAGCTGTCTTGACGCTATTCGGGGCGCTTCAAGACCCTGTCTCGGGCTCGGGCGATAGTCTCTTCACCCGGCCTGAAGAGCACTGAGAAGCAGAGTGGTGTCTTCAGCAGTTGGGAACTGCCACATTGCCATCGTATCTAGCGCAGGGGAATTGCAGCTTTTGCAGAAACGGCTGCGAAGCGAAGCGCTTCGATGGCCATTTGAGTCGGTGTATACTCATCTGGCTTGGCGGTTCATGCTGAGGCATTCAATTAGGAAGTCATACGGGTTGCTCAAAGCTTTTCCTAGCGGCGAAGGTTCGGGCTTGCTCTTTACCAAGGGGCTTTCAAGTGGTAACTTGCTGCAGCAATTGAAACTCAAGCAGAATCTGCTGTGTGCATCAGGTGGCCATCTCCTGCCGTCTCAGCCTCGGACGAGCTAGCGCTGTTTTTCGCGGCCTCGGCCATAATCCGTTCATAGGCCGCCTCAAACGTCATCGAACGAGGCCGATCCATAAAATGCCTACCGCATGGCATGCTGCACAGCCTTGTACAACTTCACGATGCGGACGAGGCGGATGACTCGCACAACCCGGCCCACTGACCTGGGATCGCAGACTGACTGCAATCCAGGAAGTTACAGGAATCAGCTCAGCTTGGCTAGACCACGACTGTCTAGTAGCACAATCCGGGTTCTGCAATGGCGTTCGTGCATTCGGTGTGCGTTAGCTCTCCGATAAATACTACTATGAATACTGCTGCTCTGGTGTTCTCCTGGGACCCTTGGTAAAGCATTGGCATGACGGCAATGCCTTGCGCACACCTGCACTGCAAAGCAAAACCAGCCTGCGATGGACCAGACTCAATGACTTGGACTTTTCAATGCAACAGCGAATTCGAAGGCCACGCATCTCGCACAATTTGCAACCACAACTCATATGCTAAAGGCGCTGTTGAACCCCGCAAGATATTGACGCGAGCAGCCTCACCCTTGGAGTACTGTTGAAGCATTTTGTGAAACAGTAGCCGGAAGACTTGAATGAGCAAGTGTACAGTGTACCGTTTACGACCGTACGACCAGTGCCTGATCGTGTTCAAAAATGTTCAAAACAATATCGGGATCGCAATAGTGCGAAGATGATCTCAGGGCGTGGCGCTCCAAGGCGTGCGGTCCTCCCACCGCGTGCCTGCGAGTGCGGTATCGACACACGAAGAGTAGGCCAGCTAGCAGCTAGCGATTGCTAGCGGCTATCGTACTCTGTCGGCTCACGCGGGCCTGGTCGCCCACTGCGAAGTCATCTGAAACTAAGGAGTCGGCAACCTCTGCAGAATTCTACTTCTGAGGATTGCCGCAGGAAACAGTGCTTGCCGCACCCATGTGAGATCCAGCAGAAGGGAAGCTGTGGAAACGCAATCGAGGACGAAGAAGAAGCCGAGGAAGTAATCCTCTCGCAAAAGACTGCATCGAGTTCCAAAAGCGAACACTTTGTGAGTCTTGCACGTCTCCTGCTTGCAGAACGACGAGAGCAGGACCTGCAACATGCAGCCGTTTGTGCAGCCCTTCTCGGCCACAGCAAAGTCAGCAAGGCCTCCAAGGCAAAGAAGAAGAGGCAAAAAATGGTGGTAACATTGAACCTTCAGGAAACGACTTGGAATGAGTGGCAAACCATGCGAAAACACTAATTGCACACAGCCCATGGAATGTCATCGTATTGCAAGGACCACGAGACTAAGAAGAGGCTGCAACTATTGCTGGCCCGCTTTGTGGCCATTCAGGGCCTACTTTATTCAGTAGGGCCCGTCAGATGCAACTCATCGGCTAGCGCGAGTTTTGCGCATGCCGCATGTCAACACCAAATTGCGCCTTTCCCATTCTGCCATGACTCCACAGATGAAATCCGTCCAGGACCGTCCAGTCATTCTTGCAGCCCGCCACATCACTGACTGTTGGGTCTCAGACCGGCGGACCTGACTCACGGAAGCAAGAGCCATGTGGCGCCTACAATGAAGTCCGCGAGACTCGAAGTGACGCAAGTCACCGCTAGTCCTTCCTGGGTTGAGAGCCACTTGGGTCCATGCGTCCGGGGTCGCGTCCTCCAAGAGCATGATGGCTGGCGAGCATAACCGCGCTGTGTGGAACATGGGCCTCTCATCCGCGAAGGATCGCGAGGGCCGCGGCTCGAAGACCTCAGTCAAACTAATTTTATCGGTATCATGTGCCGACTTCGAGGCGCTGTGATCTGAATACGGTTCCACACCTCATGTGTCACGTGTCCCCCAAGTTTGCTCGGCTGGCGTGACGTAGCTCCTACTCTGCTGGCTCTCTTCAGCCCGGCCCCTGATTCTTCAGCTACACTGGAAACCAGCTCCAACTGCCAGCTTCAAATCTTCGGATTCGAGCTCAAGCGGTGAACCTGTCACGGCGATATTCATCAATTCATACTGACTCAGACTCAGCTCCAACAGTTGCTCATCAATTTCGTTGCTTGTGAAATAGCACCGGTACCGCCACATGTCAAGTTGCTCTGAAACAAGATGCCGTCAAAGTGCCGATTCAACCTTCTTGGACAACTCTGCCTGTATTCGGCTCGACAGGACATGCGTAATTTGGTGTGTTGCAGCAGCGTACACGGAATTTTGGCGTCGGTTGTCGAACTCTGAAGCCGAAAATTCAAAGGTTGATGGGAAAACTTTAAACCCTAGAAGAAGGCGTTGAGTGAACACTCCAACTTGCTGCGCAAGGTGACGTGCGAACGCCAAGCCGCCGAGCAGGAGATCCGTGATTAACCCTAAACCCCGGGGGAGATGTTGGGCTTTCCGACTCCACACCCTGTAACTGACAACAGAATAAACGCCAGCCTACGCAGAAGCCCGACGTTCAGCCAGTGCACTGGGCGAGACACTCCCAGCGGTGTCGGACTTCGCAACCTCAGCAGAGCCCAACATGTTTGTCCGCCACGAAAACACCGACCTGGATCCTTGGCATCTACGAATCACTAGTCATCATCAAAGTCTGTTCGACAAACGAAAGCTACTGTAGGGCAGCTACTCTGTCGTGGCTGGCGACGGTCCAAGTCGTTCCGTGGGACACGTCCTTATAGCATAGACAGAGAATAAACAGCAGAACATCTCCGTTCTATGACGGCTGAATGTGTCGTGTCAGAGTATAGCAAGACTGCATGCGCAGTAAGACCACGTCGTGGACATCCAGTCAGAGCTTGAAGCACGTTCTGAAGGACCTGGCTAGCTTTTTCGGGTATTCGCAGGCATACCGTCCGGACTCTGTCCTGTGTTTCAGCAGGATGCTGAGAGAGGAACCGTTCGGCCCAGGCTCTGCCTTCTGCCAGAAGTCAACATCTATATACTGCCGTAACACGGCCGTAACCAGAACTGGCTCCAAACCCGCCAGAAGTGCCGCACCGCTCCATGCCTGCCAGCATGAAGGCCTGGAAGCTGTCTCGTGGACATCGTATGACATGGTGATGGTTGTGGGCTGCAGAGACCAAGTCGAATACTGCTTGCAAGCTCGAACCACGTCCAGAGCTGGCAAGCTTCGCTCGAGGCCCTCCTGCGAGACTCCGAACATCCCAAAATGCACAGAAAGATGAATCAGAAGACTTTCACACCTGCCGCAGGAGTGGAGAGCTGGCCAGAACTGCAGTTCGTGCGTTAAAAGTGGGTCGACTGGAGTTTTCTTAGGCGTTCCAGGGGGTCTAGATCCACCGGACATGCTCCTAAGGTTTGAACTTGAACTCCACAGCTCGTGACTCCCAAACTTCGGACTCTTGGATTTCGAGCGATTGTGGATTTGGAAAGCTGGTGGAGGGGCATATCATGCTTCTGCAATGTATGTCAGCAGATTGATGTGAAAGCAATGGATGTCGAAGAGGTAAACCCGCGGATGGTTGGGCTGTCAGCAGCCCGGTGCATACATTGTGGGCAGATTCCAGGAATTTGGGTTCGAAGTAGCAGATCCAAAGCAGCGAGTCAGGTTGAAAAATTCATGAAAGTGCTTGGAAAGTCTTCGGCTCAAGTTCAGCACTTCTATTGCGCCAGTGTGGTGAATGGCTCCTTCGCAGCGTTCAGCACACAGTGCTTGTGAGCTGCCACAAGTCCAACGCATTCGCGATGGACTCGGGCGTCGAAGTCACCGACCTTCCGAAACTGAGCCATTGCCATTCCTTGATCATCCTCCAGCCAGCATTGCAAACATCCCCACCTCTTCTGCCAGCCTGGCCCGAAGCACTGCTTGCGCCTGTACAGTGAAAGCCTAGAGTCTAGAGTCAAGAACAGTCTAGAATACTGACAGCTTACAAGTCGCACAGGCACGAACTAGTGCCAATGGCATGGCTGCAGATGCTTGGGTTGGATCCTTCTTCTGCATCAGGTCCATGGCGTCGCTGCAACCCTTGCGCGCAATCTACATCTTTTATCGAACACCCTGAGACACAAGCTGTCGGCAGATTGCAGCTTGGGCACCTCTGATATCACTGCCCAAGCATCATCGATTCGGTGCCTGCTTTGTACATTCATGCATGTCGTTGGCAGCCATGCTTGTTTGGGTCTCGCGCTCGATGCCATTTCCACTGAGCTCATCGTCCAGCGGGTCTATTTCCTGCTCATACAAATTCGCATCCGTGCAAACTTAGACCGCTCTTGCTTCGTTTGAAAATGAAGGTACCTCGCTCTGTTGCACTTGGGTTCGGTCGGGCAGCACGCCACAGACCTGCAAAGAACGTACGTGCATATCACTACACGTCGAGAAATGTGTGATTTGCAGCAGGGGGTTCCACATCGTTCCTGTGCGCATGCATTTCGAGAATTAGTTCACTTGAATTTGGCGTAGCGATGTGGTGTTGGATGTCCAGCATCCGCTAAACAAATCAGGCATCTGACTATCCAGGGGATTGTGACCTGCGTCCGACCATCTATGCAGGAGTGCCTTTTCTCGACCAAGTCAGGCGACTCCGTGTTGACTCCACGAAGGATTCACATTAACAGAAACCTCTTGTGCAGACTGCCCTCGGCAAGGGAAACCTCTGCAATTCGTTTGCGCATGTCTCACTTCGATTGAAGAGCTTGGTACGGGTCGCCGTCTGGACATCCAGCCTTCGCGGGAACAAGGAGACCGACCGCTCTTGGACTGTACGACAGCTAGCTAACTGCAAGAGTGGTTGTGTCTCCGACTAGTTGTCCATGAAGCTGCATGTTGACTTTGAAATACCCAGTTTAAGGTGCTGGCGGAAGGACAGCTGAGCTCTCCAAGAATAGTGCTGAGTTGGCTGTCGTCGAGTGCATCCTGCATTTTTCACATTATGCATTTTCCGCAGAAGCTAGCCGGGATGCACAAGCTCGCAAGCAGCATGTTGCAAGCTGCATGTCGGCGTGAGACTCAGCAGGCACGGGCGACATCGAACCACGGCTACTCAAGGAGAGAAGACAATCCACATTGCACCATGAAGCTACCATGCTGGCCGATGGGCCTCCTCGTCTACGGACTGCATGTCAGCAGTCGTGTACCTCGTGCATTTTTGTTGCAGAGCGTCGCAAATCGGAAGCAAGCCGGACTTGTTCCCTGCTGAGATATTGACAAGCAGCACCCGATGGCTTAGGCGGAGCTTATCGTGAACTTAAACACGGTGTCGTGCAGCAGCTGCGGGTGTGGCCCTTCCCGATGCCTTGCTGGCTAGCCATTCCAGTTGAGTTGCCTTGCAGGTGTTGGTATATGACTGGACTTCCGAGACTGTTTGAACCTCCTCGCCAGGACTCATGAAACTACTTGGCTGGGCTCGTCAGCGTTCTCTCTCAGGTTCTCGTGTGGGCCGAATCCCTGCTGAAGCCATGAACCTTTACGGAAGGCCGGATGCCACGCCAAAATCCAATATTGCGATTGGCTCATACTCGTGCTTCTGGCATGCTGATCCTTCAAAATACTGCGGACTGCAAACTCGTTTCGGTGCGGCGGTGGCAACCACAGTGAATATTATTCAGAGGCGGTTTTGAAGTTCAGCAACAGGCACCGTCAGGCACACACAAAGTCTCCCCAAATTGGTATGTACCCGTCTTGCAGCATGGGTCACTGTGCGAAAGGTGCTTCTTCCTCTGTCAGGTCGACAGACGCACTGCCTTTGTCAAGCATGCATGAACAGGACTGTGCAGCCTGCAAACTGTGTAGCACAACTTAGAAGACGCCTTGCCCACATGCTTGAAACGGGATGATCAATGCAACAAGCTTTGCTCGTGGATCTGCACTCTTTCTGGGTTCTTGCCTCCATATGGATCTTTGTTGGCTGGACTTCGCGCCGTTGATGGTCCAGGCTTTGCCTCGTATGCAACTCGCAAGCGAGACAAGCTGTCATATCTGTCATGTCGCGGCCCATGAAGGGGCGTGCCTGAGAAAACCGGAGTTAAAAGTTGCGGTTGTACGCAAAATGACTACATGCAAAGAGAACTCAACTGGTGCCCAACAAGAAGACTCATCCGCACACCCACACAAGCAAACATGCACGCACGCAGGCAGGCACGCACTGGTGCATGACATAAACTGACGCGCTGATTGGGGAGCTGGGGGACAAAAGATTGCTGCACGAGCTAGTCTTGGCACAAGGGCCTTTCGATGCAAGTACGTGACCAAG